TCCAAAGTACCCAGACTAATACACCGTTCTGCCCAGTGTAATCCCTGGTTTGTTATGATCCAGCCAAGGCCTGTGTCTAGTCAATGAAACAAAGCCAACGGCCCCTGTTTCCTGCCCATCGCTCATGTTGGCCTTCGCGGGTGATGTGCAGTGATGACCAACGCTCCGCCCTCTGCTGCTCAGGCTCCCGTCTGAGCTCCATGCTCACCAGCACCTTTCTGACGACTACAGTTCTCCGAGACACCCACGGCACATTCCTGGCTTGGACTGGGAATGCGGGTCTGCAGCTCCTGCCTCTCCTCCCCTCCGGAGTGGGCCGCATCAACCAATCAAGCCCCAAAGCTGTGTTCCAGCCACATCACCGAGACGGACTGCACTTCAGCACCCGAGAAGGCGTTCTTCCTCGGTGATGAGAGCACCATAAAGCTTCCTTGCAAGACGTTGAACTACCTTGCAAGACATTGAGCCACATCAAAGAAACAAACACAAGAAACTCCACTTTAAAGAAAAAATAAAATGTATCATTGGGGCCCAGATCAACAGCTGCATCCAAGAAGCCACCACAAAAATGTGGGACCCCTGATAAGACTGGGCTGAGACCTGAACGACGCCCAAAAGCTAGCCAAGCCACCTAAAGCGTGGAGAGACCCCATAAGACTTGACTGGGACAGTGAGGACGTCAAAGAGCCAGCCAAACTGTCAATTTAAACCCAGGTAGAGACACTGACTTTTCAGAGAGCTAGGAACCAAGGAGACATCATCTCCTGCTCTCTCCAACTCTACCCGGGGTGAGCACACCGATGAGGCAATGCTGATTGGGACTATGGTGCTATTATGCAATGTGTGAGGAGTGTTGTTATTCTGCCTTGAGGCTCATAGTTGTTTGCCCTTAGTAGTTTGAGTAATATTTTAGATTGTTTGATGTGTGTTTGCAGTGTATAAAGCGAGCATTTGAAAATGTCTAAGAGCGTCAAGTAATCATTGATGGCGCCGCTCATGACACTCGGTCGTATTTGAAAGCCTTCCGATCTGAGGGGCTCAGCTCTGATATGAGCAAAGGAAACTCCTTATTGAAAGTCACCCCCTAAGATCAATGCTCAGTCACACGGGCGATACAAGCACACACGCTCCAGACGTCCACTGGTGAAACCGATCAAAACCACCACCAGGGGCTAGCGACAGAACACCGAGGTGGTCTTAGGGCTTCTCTGGGCTGTCTGTTCAGAAGTAGATGGCCAGGCCCTCCTTCCTTGTTTGCTACCCTATCGACCGTCAGTGGCCCTGCTGGTATTTGAAGAAGGTCCCTACCTGTCAGCATCACAGCAACACATCGAAGCTGTGATGGACGACAAGGTGATGATGGAGCAAACGTAAAACAAAAAACAACCCATGCGGCCCCACGAATCATTGATGTGACAACTGCTATGAGCATTGATGCTCAAACAAACAAAGAAAAAAGCAGGCATAGGCCCTCGTGCTGTGTGTGCTGCAGAGCTATAGCAACTCGATTGAAGGCCCCTCAGGACCACCCCACCCCCACCAGACTCCTGCTTTAACTGCCACAGTGCCCACTGCAGGACTTTCTGAATGTGACACGGGTGTGACACTCAATGCTACCTTCTCAATGCTGCGCCCTCTCAAAACTACACCCTCTCAAAGCTACACCCTCTCAAAACTACACCCTCTCAAAGCTACACCCTCTCAAAGCTACACCCTCTCAAAGCTCCACCTTCTCAATGTTGCACCATCTCAATGCTGCACTCTCTCAAAGCTACACCCTCTCAAAGCTCCACCTTCTCAATGCTGCACCCTCTCAAAACTACACCCTCTCAAAGCTACACCCTCTCAAAGCTCCACCTTCTCAAAGCTCCACCTTCTCAATGCTGCACTCTCGCAAAGCTACACCCTCTCAATGCTGCACCATCTAAAAGCTGCGCCCTCTCAAAGCTACACCCTCTCAAAGCTACACCTTCTCAATGTTGCACCATCTCAATGCTGCACTCTCTCAAAGCTACACCCTCTCAATGCGGCACCATCTCAAAGCTGCACCCTCTCAAAGCTACACCTCCACAATGCGCCACCCTCTCAATGCTGCACCCTCTTAAAGCTACACCTTCTCAATGATACACCCTCCACAATGCGCCACCCTCTCAAAGCTACACCCTCTCAATGATACCCCTTTACAATGCTATATCCCATAATGTTAAACCCCACAATGCTACATCTTCTCAATGCTACATCTCCACAGTGCTACATCCCCACAGTGCTACACCCCCAGAATGCTACACCCCCACAGTGCTACACCCCCACAATGCTATAGCCCCACAGTTACACCTCACAGTGTTAAACCCCCAAAATGCTACACCCCACAATGGTGTCCTCTTCCCAGTGTGTTTTCCTATTCATGTTGGGAAGGCATCCAAGAAATGTAAAGCTACAAATGTTCTATTAGTTGGAATTACATCTGTTCAGAGAACCTACCAGTGTATAATTCCTCAAGGCCAAGTGCACACTCAATGGAACAATGGTTTTATATTGAAACTTAGAGTTACTTTAATTAATTTATTTTTGTTCCCCTCAAATCTATTTTTTCATTTACTTTGGTGACAGGTGTATTTCTTCTGCAAAACACTCACACAGTGGAAAGCATCCCCCTGAATCTTAAGCTTTCAGTGAGTCTGTAGCAACCTCTCACATTTTGAAGCCTCAGGAGTGTGTGCTGTACAGCAGAATTCTAATGGCTTCCTAATGAGAAGGGCACAGGTCCAGTTACGGGAGCAGGAAGCACAGACACAGTCCTCTGGGGGACACAACTGTCACATGATCGTCAGGTGAGGGCCAGCTGAAGCTGCGAGGCTGCCTCATGGCAGTGAATCCATAAGGATGACACCTGGGCACAGGTGCTTTCCTGGTGCCACCACCTTTCTGCATTGTGGTCAGTCTGTGTGTGGACAGCCCTGGACACAGGGACACCTCCGATGTCATCCACTCCCACTGCAGTGACCCTGGGCACAGGGACACATGCCTGTGCAGATGGAGCAGAGAGGGCCCCTCTAACAGTTGGAAGTGTTCCCCAAAGTAGCACGTCCTGTGACGGGTTCCCTGGATCGAGTCCCTCCACTCCAAGTCCTGGCTGGCCAGTCTAGTCCTCCTGGCTGTTTCTAGATCCAGCATTTTAGGAGGATGGAGGCGAGGGGCACATGGAGATGCAGCAGGAGCCAGGATGAAAGAGGAGGGAGGTGAGCAAGGGCAGAGGAAGAGAGAAAGGGGCCCAGACCTCTCATTCCTAGAGGGTGCCTCTGAGTTCGGGGGGGGGGGGCTCCCACAGTAGTGCCCTCTATGTGGTCTGACCCCCACAATGAAAGAATCAGGGGCCACTCTGTGCAGGTGGGCTAGCCATGTGCTTCCCAGACCCTCCTGCCAGAGCCAACAAGCCAACTATCCTCACCCTCAAGGTGGAGTGAGCTGGAGACACAGCCTGGGTCCCAAGAGCACTCTGAACACTGGACCATGAGCCTGGCCAAGGGCCACCTCCTTGGTTTTGTGCTAATAATCAGCATTTTGTTGTCCAGATTGTCCTCAGAGACTCCGATGGAGGGCATCATGGGTCTCTGCTGCCCTTCCTCCCTGCTCACCGCCCTGGAGCCAACGTCGACTCACAGTGACCTGACAGGGCAGGGCAGAACAGGGGACAACTGCTCTGGGGCAGTTGTAGGAATAGAAAGCCCTCAGAGCAACTAGTGGTTTCAAACTGCTGACCGTGAGGGTTACAGCCCAATTCGTAAGCACGACGCCACTGGGGCTCCCTCGGATGGTGCCCAGGCCCATGTAAAACCAAACTCTCTATTTTATATTAAGGGAAAAAAGATCGCTTTCCCACTAGACAGCACTGCTCTGAGCCTCCTCCTTTCTGCATTCCTTCCCAACAGCCAGCCAAAACCACTGGTAGCTGGTAAGCAGCTGCCCTGGCTGCATCCTGGTGAATCCCAGCCCGGCACCCTCCCAGCCGAGCAGCTTAACCCGAAGGAGCAAAGCAAGGTGAAACCAAGGTGTGTGGGCTGTCCCTTCCATTCTGAAAGGTAGGTACGACGTTACACGCCTGTTAAATGCCACCAAAACTAAGCACAGAAGAGTCCTGTGTCCCCAAAGAGGCACTGACCTGTGGCAGCATCTTGAGTGGTCAGCATGTTACTGTCACTGAGTAGAATCCAACTCATAGTGACCCCTCGAGGCCCGCATCAGCCTCACAGCTGTGAGGTTTGAGCTGTACACCCCTGAATCCCAGAGAAGCCTCCTCCGCAGAACCCCAGCCTGCTCTGAGGACAGAGCCCCGCCCCTTGGTGCCCTGCCTTTTAGGACTCCACGCTCATGGGGAGCTTGTTCTAGACCCTCGGAGAGGTGCAGCAGGAATATAATTTATACATGAGACACGCAGAGGCTGCGCCAACCCTACACAGAGTTCAAGACACGAGCCAGGCACCATGTGATGTGTATTTGACTTTCGACTACATGTTGCAGGGGCTTATACCTTCTGACGGCAGATGTTTGTGGGGTATTAGTAGTCCTTGCACCTGAGTCAGATCCCCATCCAGCACAGGTCACACACAGCTGTCCCCATCTGTCAGTGGAGGCCGGTGTGACTCAGTGATGCTGAATGGGCCTCAGGGGAGCGTCCAGGCTGGGAGACTAGGAGGAAAGACCAGGTGGCTGCACCTAAAGCCAGCCAACAAATAATCTGTGGGTCACAGCGGCAGGTCTGCAGCTGACCATGGCCGGCACAGGACCCAGAAGCCTTTCACTCCCTTGCAAGTGGGGCCACCAAGAGTTATGTCCACCTGGTGACAGCTAACGGCAACCACAGATGTTTGCTGACCTAGGCAGGAGCCACACGAAATGAAACCCTTGCCGCATCACCTGGAGGCTGTCCACCCCGCCCCCCCCCCACGTCCTCGGCTCTGTGGGGGCAGTGGCGCAGTCTAGACCACGGTGACAGGACATACCAGGAGGCTCTCCTCGCGCCGGTACTGCTTCCAGTTCCTGCCGCTGTCGCTGAACATCAGGAGGTAGCCGGTTACCCAGTCAGAGCTGCCGTAGCCACCCTGAGTGGCTACCGCCGTGACCTCCATCCTCTCTCCAAGGTCGACCTGCAACCACGGATGCTTGTCGGACACGCGGGGAGTCCAGCCCCCGGCTCCTTGTGGGGTGAGAGAGAGGAAGAAAATGGGGAAGGGGGAATATTACAATCTGTTTGCAAGAACACCTGCCTGCACCACATTTGAGAAAATAAGATTTATGGAGCTCAGAGCAAACACCCTCAAATTATAGCAACTATTGAGAAACAGGAATCACATATTAAAAATACGGGACCTAGATTATTGTGTGTTCTTCTAGGTCAGCAGTTCTCAACCTGTGGGTGGCGACCCCTTTGGGGTGGAATGACCCTTTTACAGGTGTTGCCCGATTCATAACAGTAGCAAAATTATAGTTATAAAGTAGCAACAAAAATAATTTTATGGTTGGGGGTTACCACAACATGAGGAACTGTCTGAAAGGGATGCAGCATTAGGAAGGGCACGAATCCCTGTTCTAGGTTGTGTGGCCTCGTGTTTCCTGTAGTCCCAGGGGCTCAGTGAGATGGGTGGACCCCAGCTGACCCCCGGGTTTTGAGCTTGTTTAGTATTCAGAACCTCTTCTAGGGACACCTTCCTGAGCTGTGCTGGCCCGGCACCAGCTATGTCCTCTAGTCTCAGGCATCTTGTTTTACACACACACACACACACACACACACACACACACACACACACACACCAGCACAAAGACTCCCAGGAGGGTGCAGGGGGCTCACACACTGACTGGTAAGCAAAGGCCGGAGCTGTGCGATGAACCGGAGGTCAGCCCTGAAGACTGGTAGCTGTGATCAGAATCCACTCCATGACAGCTGGCCTCGCTGCTCAGCCACACTGCAGCCGGGGAAGGAAGGACTAGCCTCGTCCAGGGGAAACAGTGTCTCAAGAAGAAGATCTACAGACTCCATGCCAACTCTGGGATCTAGTTCATACAAGCATGTGTCATGGGAAGATGGGCCAGCCCTCTGGAAAGCGCTCTACGTGAGCACTAGAAGTGGGCAGATGAGCTGATAGATTGCAGGTGCCTTCCACACCCTGCACATGGACGCGAGACATCGTAAGTGACAAAGGGGCTAAAGGGACGTGGGCGGGTGTGATGGAATCAGCGGGGTCGTTGTAAGTTTGTCATTTTAACCCATGGGAATGGATCCCAGAGCTGAGGCAGAGAGATCACAAGAACAGTCCAGAGCCTCATCCCAACACCGTACAGAAGCACAGGAGCCCGGAGACAAGCAACCGGACAGGCAGTGGAAGGGCAGGTGTTGGGGGCGGGGGTGAAAAGAACACAGGACACCTGGAGAGCACGTCCAACAAGACGTTTTTTCAAAAGGATCTTATCTCTTGAGTTATTCTGCTCTCAGTCCATGGTAAGCAAACAGATACAGGGCCAGGGGAGGCCCCTCGTGAACGCAGGAGCAAGGGCAGCGTCATCAGCAGGCCACCTCCACACATGGGAGCCACCACGACCTGCGGAGGTTCCCGAGCAAGAGCCTGAGAGAAACAGCCCGCGCTCCACACGGTGGGTGGACTCCGGGCGGAAACAGTGGGCTCGGACGGAACCACTGAGAGGGCGGCGCAGGACTGGGTGGGCTTCCTTCCGTCATACATGGGGCTCTGCGAGCAGCACCCACTGGACAGCACAGGCAGGGTGGTGGCAGGACGGCTTGGCAGGCCTCTGCCCAGCTTGTTTGGAAGACAGAGTAAAAAGGAGACTGCCCCCTTTCACCCGAGTCCTAGTTTTCAACCCTCAAAAATGCAACACACATCACTGCCATGGGGTCCGTTCCACTGAGGGACCCTATGGGCCAGGCCGGAACCGCCCAGTGGGTTTCTGAGACTGAAACTCCTTATGGGAGTAGAAAGCCTTGTCTTTCTCCCACGGAGGGCTAGTGGTGTTGAACTGCTGCCGTAGTTGACAGCCCAACTCGTCACCACTATAGAGGGGCTGTTACTTTGGGCCAGGTTAATTGACATTTCCTGGGGAAAGTATAAACAACTTGATTTGATACTTTTTGTCTGCAGCGTGCTCTGAGATTAATTAGCATACACGTTGAGCCCAGCTGTGTCTACTATGCAAACGAAGCACCCCTGGCCTAGCCTGAGATGGGTCTGTTATGGGTCTGGTGAGTGGCTATGCGTTGACATTGGTAAAAGTGAGTGTATGTATCTATACAGCCAATGCTAGAGGGGTTGGGCTGACGTGGAGGAGAGGAGGCAGAGCCTGCTCACGGAGCTCCACCACACTGAAGCTACTGAGGGCGCCCGGCTCCAGGGGCAGAACCAGCAGGAACAGTCAGGAGGGGCTGGGAGGGAAATATCCCAGGGAGGAGGGGTGCTGGAAGCAGCCAGTCTGGTCTGGGAAGACCAGGCCGCCTCTGGCTGGCTGTTGAACAAGGGGAGAATTGCAGGAGCACAGCCCTGCGCTAACTGGGAAGGGAGACCTGACCGCACGTTCCTGAGCCTGCACGAACCCTGCCCCACGCTGCAGCTTCCGGGGCTCCTTCATGGGTTCTTCCCACTGACCAGAGCCTGGAGGGTCACTCTGCTTTCAGATTTGGAAGACTGGGCCTGGGCCAACCGGGGCCAGCTTTGTCTGGGCCTCTTGTGGAATTTAAGGAGCAGAGGCAGAACGGTGGCTCACCAGGCATGAAGCCAAGGCCCTGAAACTCCACACTAAGCAGCAGGCTCCTTCCATGGCACCGACCTTCCACGCAAGCAGAGGCTCCCTTAGGATCGCCACAAAGGAAGTCTCCTCTGAGCGAATTGCACTGTTTCAATGTCCATCATTGGGATCTCACCTGATTGCTCTTAATTCACAGTCGACTCATTAAAAGGCCCGGAGAGGAGGGAGCAGGGCATCTGAACAGGGGGACCCGTGGTCCCTGCACAGCGTCTGTGTGTGGCTGTGAGATGAGTCCATTTGGTTCACGGCCAGGACAGCTGGGGAAGCCTGCCCACCTGCCCAAGCGCGGTTTCCCACTCTGCAAACCGAGGCTGTGCACAGGCTACATGCAAGCTGGGCTCTCTCCTGCCTTGTTCTTGGGGTTGTTGGTTTGTTTGACTGCTCCCCACTTCTAAGGGGAGGAAAACGCAAGAACAGAACTTGCAAAAGCGAATCTTCAGCCAGGATCCCAGCGCCCAGAGCATCCAAGGCGGCTGGAAGCTTCCTCTTCTGAGCAGCAAGGGACCTTGTGCTCCACGGAACCAGACACCATCCTCACAGTCATCCTTGTTCCAGCCCCTGCACGCAGCCACTGTGTCCACTGTCCCTCTTTGTCGCTGCCCCTCCCTCTACCAAGCCTGAGGTCTGTCTCCAGGGACTGCTCTCTGTGACATCACATCCAAAGTCCACGAGAGGACTCATCCTCCCTAGCGCTCAGCTCAGGGCTGAGTGTCCTGGAAACCAGCTGCAGGGCATGTTCCCTAATTAAAGTGGCCACACCGAGCTGCACAAAGGCCCCCAGCACCCTCCACAGATACTGGGCCTGTGCTGATCTGCCACTGGACAGATGGACACAAGGCCACCACGACCTTGTGTGTCACTGCTGACTGAACTGACTTGCATGCTGCCTGGATATGACGTCCGCAGTATTTCAAATTCCAGCAGGGTCACTCTGGGGGGCGGGTCTCAGTGGCACTGAGACGTACTAGGAAGAAATGTCTGGTGACCGCATTCTGAGAAGCCTATGGATCATCATGTCATGCCGAAAGAGGAGTCCCCCACATTGGAAGGGACCCAAAAGGCAGTGGCGGAAACAATGGACATGGAGGTGGGGCTGGACTACAGCAGGTCCCTCCGTTGTGTGCGGGGACACAGGGAGGTGCAGCCACATCTACAGCAACAACTGCTCAGAAGGATCCAACTGCCAACCCCACCTTCTTCCTAATAACAGCCGCAGAGAGCGGGGCCACGCACCCGTCCCTCCTTGTGACAGAGCTGCACAGGGGAGCGCTCCATTGTGCATTAGAGAAGGGGGCTGCTTTTTGCCTGCTCAGAACCCACACCCCTCTGCTTCTGACAAGCAGGAAGATCACCCACAAGTCTCCATCCCCTCTCCCCCAGCTCTGATGCTAGTGGGGGACCCAGCGCCTGGGCCCTGGACTGGTCAGGGCAACATTTCAGAGATGGCAAAGGGGCCCCAGTCTGCCCTTAAGGCTGAAGACCAAGTCATGCCAGCGCCAGGCGCTCTTCATGGATTTTGCACACAAGCCCTTTGCCGTTGTTGGGCTGGTTCCACCTCATTCACCATAACCCAGGTGCAACTGGCAAAACGCTGCCTGGCCCAGCACCGCCCACCCTCGTCCTCACTGCCATGTTTGGGGCCATGGTGTCAGCCCAGCTCCTGAGGGTCTCCTCTTTGGGACTGACTAAATCTGGCCAGGCAGACGTGGGGGAAAGAAGCACGACAGGATCCCACCCAATAGGCTGAGACCTGGAAGCCCAGTGCGACAGGAGACAGTGAGAGCAGTGGCCGCCCTTTCCCTCGTGCAGAGCAAAAGGGATACTTGGCATTGGGCTGGAACACAGAGCCTTGCTTACAAGCAGCTCCAGCCAGCACACATGCAGTCCCTGGATGGTGTCATTGGTTTATAGTACCAGGACGTGGCACAGAACAAAACCCAGCACAGCCCCTGCCCGCATGCCCAGCCCCCAGGTCTGCACCGCTGTCCACACCCCATCCTCTGCCACCCTTCCTGACCTGTGAAGGGCATTCACCACCATGCTTCCCCCTGTGCCCACTTCCAGACCACCCCCCCACTGCCCCACCCACCCCCGGCCTGCCAGACAGGGCCAAGAAGGTGGCGGACAGCAGAGAAGTGCATGAGCAGCGCCGTTTGCTATGATCCATCTATTAACAAAAGCTATACATTAGGAACATGTAGCCTCAGAGCTTTGAAGTCATCCTGAGAGAATCGGAGTAGCTGTAGGTGCAAACGATTAATAACGGTGTCTCCTGGGCACATTCATTTGTTTGAGCATCTGTTCTCCAAGGGCAGTTGATTCATATCACAGGTGAATTATATGCAATAAAGCTATCCGAGCAAGCCAAAGGCAAGAATATCTGCT